TGGACCTAGCGTGTGCCTCTTGAAATTTGAAACACGAAGGTTCACCAACGTATGCAGGCCTTGTTAATGTTTAGTAGCTCATTTGTCTGCAGAAACCTTGAACAACTCCCTTCTTCTTCCTTCCTAAACACAACAAGAATCACATAACCAAAATTTAATTAAGAACAGAAGCACTAAAAAACAAGTAGCGGCCGGCCCACATGCTGTAAAATACCAACTTGTTGTAAAGCATTAAATAGCAAAGGTTTAGCGAACGAAAACATTAAGACAGGGTTTTTCTGTATCCTGCACGGTGATTGAGTGAGGACATGCACACAGCAGAAACTGCTCAGACAAATGCTAAAGCATGCTAAAGATCTACTGACCTATCCCCAATTACTAAGCTATCAGTCAAAATTGATACAGCAAATACAGAGTTAACACACACGTATTGTTCTTTTTTTTTAAGTGTGCACTTGACATGTAAACCAAAGATTAGTCCTTACTACAGGAAAAAGCCTAAAGTTCAATCTAGAAGTCTGCATGAACAGCACTAGCCTGACACTCGGTTTGTTCATATGTGAAGAAACAATGCACACGAAAAAATACATACCCAAAAACGCAGAACCTGCCTACGTGTTGAATGAGACTGTTGGTATTAATTTCACCTCTTTTGCCAGCCTCATGGCTCCTCATCCCCCTCGGCCAAGTGAACATTGCTCAGAAATGAAGTATGGACAAGAATGTTAAGGCTACCATCAAAGGCTTCCCTTTAGATCTGTGTGCGTGTCTGTGTGTGTGCTCGTGAGTGAAGCAGCCCCACAGGTGATTGGATCTGATCTGATCTCATCTGATTGGCTCATCTGTCTGATGCATTCCACAGGCGAGTGAGAGAAGGTTGTTAGAGGCCTTTCTAAATAATTTAGATCCTGGATTTGTATTGATCAGGTAGTGCTGCTCTCCACGGGCCACTCCAGTACCCCTTCTTTCTCCATCCCTCTTCACCCCTGTTCTTGTTTTTCCTCCTCTCCACTCTTTCTCCCCCACCCCATGCTCTACATCAAACAGAGGTACACTGCTGCGAGGGAGCAGAAAATGCATGAGAAAGGAGTTGATGGGGAAAGTGCAGGGAAGAGGATTTTTCTTTTACAGCGATTCCTCAATGGGAGTGAAGCGAAGGAAAGGTGTAAAGCGCGGCTAAAGAGAGAAACGGCACAATGAAGGCAGGGGGAAAAAAGTCTTTTGTTTGCTGTATTTGTGCAGCACATGTAAAGTTGTCTGTGGAGAGTAATGGAGTGTGCGTAACCTTGGTGATGCAGGTCAATGGAAGTGCAGAAATGAGCGTTTTGTGCGTACTGAGCCTGGTCCAACTTAGTCCATTAAACTCAGTCATTACTCCATTAAATACTGCTTCATGCCATGGCCTTGGATCAATACTGCATAATGTAAAGACTGATAACATGTCTTAACCACACAGTGGAACGGATTTGTTGAATGGGTAATGTATTCTTGGAGGGATAGAAAAATAGCACAAATGAGGAGGACATTTATGCATAGTATGAACATGATAACTGCTTCTTTTTTTCTTTTTTTAATAAGAAAGACCTTTTCTTTGCATTCTGCAGATAGGGATGTGTTAGAGGTGCACTGAGCAACATGGAGCGAATATGATAATGCTTCTGTTGCCAAGCAAAATATGTATCTTTCTCAAAATACAGCTTCGCGTACACGCTGTACATGCTGATAGAATTTGGCAGTGCTCAGAGCAGACAAGCAAAAGGAAATTACTTGTTGCCCACAGAGTGTTATTAGAGCCAGCTATTTTTTTTTCTTTTTGTGGACAACCAAGCATTTCTAATATTAAATTTTAAAAAAGCAATCGTCTATATTTTAAGTGTAAGGCTTTTTATATTGACCAGGAGGGACTGCAGACTGCTCTCCCTTTTGACTGGTTAATATTTGTGACCATGATAACATTTATTTCTGACATATAAAACAAACACACCAATATCTACACATACACATTCACACAGATATGTGGTCAAGAAAAATAAACAAAATCTCAATGCCATGAAAAACCACTCAGTCATCAAGTGTGAAATGGAAATAAAGCGTAACTGGTGTTTTTATATCTTGTTTACACTGTGCTGTAGAAGTTTGCAAAGTGGAGTGGATGACAGGGACTATAAAAAATTACTCTTCCATACACAATTAATAATATGAACTGCTATGTAGGAAGTGTCAATAACGCAATCATTTTGAGCGCGTTCTCATCCCAGGGCATCCCAGTCTTTCCCTCAGCTGGGGTTGCAGAGCTGTGCAGTCCGATGGCTTCAGCGGACGCTGAGATGTAATTTTCCTTCTTTATAGGGTGATAAAATCCTCATTTGGAGGTTGGCGAATTGGCAGTGAATTAAATCACTGGAGACGGTGGTTTGTGTCTGGTTTGTGAGCTGTGTGTTTTGCACTTTGTTTTTTCCTCCACTCTCTAATTAGTTTTGTTTTCAGTCTCTCGCCCTTTTTATTTTTTTTAAACTTTTGCTTTTACTCTCTGATTAGGTTTAGACAGCAAAAAGTATTTGGTTATGTTTAGGCACCAAGAGTTAGATAACAAGAACAACAAACCTTTTATTAAGTCCCAAATTACAAAACCATAGAGAAACAAACAGAAGTCCAAAAGTAATAATTGGGACCGGGGAAAACAGAGAGAGCCTCTGGAAAATATGTTACTTCAGAAAGGGACAAAAGGTAAGACACAAGTGTGTATATACATGGAGGACTGAGACAGGTGGTGAGCGAGACACAGCTGAAAACAAATGGGGGGGAAAGACAGGAAGTGGAACTAACACAGGACATGAAGGATAACTAACCGTCAAAGTAAAACAGGAAGTAATCCAGAGGCAAGACGCTACACACAGAGATAAGACTGACGCTAGATATTAATAACAGCGAGAGAAACAGACAGTAACAGAGAGATGAGACAGAAGGAACAGAGAATAGAAAAGCTGAGGCGACTAAAATAACTACAACGAATAAAAAACAGAACATGAACCAAAACACGCTGTCTACAGTAACAAGAACAAAGACTCACTGTATGCTGGAATAATAAAGAAATCAAAACAGGAAACAAAAACTCTAGTTAACGATAATTAAAAACCTCGAGCACTAGAAAAACAAACTAAATTTAAAAAGGTGTAAAGCAACTCAAAAAGCAGAGCAGGGGACCATGACAAAATACTTAGTTACCTGCATGGTTTATAGGCCTTTCATAACATTAACCCTTTCAGTACATTTAAATTGTGACAAGTTGAGAAACAGTGTGTCACAGAACTGGAACTAAAAGCCTATCTGTGAGGAGATGCCAGCAGCTGGAAAAAAAAGTGGAAGTCCTTGAAATGAGATTTAGATCCTGTTACTTGAGTGGCTGTTTCTCAAAGAAATCATCAGAGCAACATTAAAAAGTATAAAACCGACTGTTTTATGCTGTAATGGAGCAGAGAGAAGTTGTATGTACAGTGTGTATACTATTAGTAAACACAGTATATACTCCTTGTGGAGTGCTGGATCCCTGTGCAAAAGTTACGATAAAAAAAACAAGGGAGGAAACGTCCGGATACAGTAAGGAGTGTTGTGGGATGAATTATTGAGGCTTTGATATGGAGGAGAGAAAGGGAGGGAAGAGATGGACTGAACTCTGCTCCTAAGACAGGGTGTAACACGTCCAACATACACAGACATGCGGCGAACACACACATTCAGAGACACTCGCACAAGCGTCTTGTGCGAGGACATGTTAATGGAGTCGCCCAGTCAGACAGCCAGGCAGGCAGACGGGGCCACACAGGAGTCTGCTCTGCCCAGAATTCCACAGTGTAACGCACCAAACCCAGAAGAATGAACGCCCTGAGACCCAACTGACATGTTGCTATTCTTACTAAAACACAGTCTCGCTGTGGGTGTCGCCTCATTTTCCCATTCAGTTTTCCTCCATAAGCAGGGGGATTCCAGGGTCAGGAAACAACAATGCCTTCATCTTTCTCAGCCGCAAAGGATTTTATTCCCCGATGTGTAAAACGGTTTTGTTTTCTGTTTTTTTGGTGTGTGTGTTCCTCCTTTGAGCCACGGGCTGTTCCTTGTACTCTGCTCTGTCTGGCTGGAAACAGTCCAGTGACTGAGCCCTCTTCCTCCAGTGATGCAGCTGACTCTGTGGTCCCATCACTCAGGGCCCTTGTTTACCGGGTGGATCAATAGTTAACGTGCTGCGGGATACACTGAGCTGTAGATGTGTTCAGCTGGATAACACACTCCCGGGAGTTTTCTGATCTGTGGCTGTTTGTGGTGGGCTGGGAAGAATAAAGGCTTAGCAAAGCTATCAGGGTTACAGCCAATTAGCTCATCAGTCTGTTCTAATATGGTTGTCAATACGACAGGCTTTGATTAAAGCGCTGTGATTTGTTGAGGATGAGGTAGATTACATTCTGCCACTCTTTTTCTCTGTAAAAGGTGAGGTGGGGATATTCTGCTGTTTAAAGTAACTCATACCCTGGTTTAGCACATGTTTTAATAATGCTTCTACTTCTGTCTGAATATATTTATATGTGTGCAAGTGACCTTCTAGATTTTGCTTTAACACCTCCATGCACTCTCCTCTCCTCCTGCAGGGTGTTAGGTCTTGTTGGCATCCCATTTAACTGCCAGTTTACCTTTCCATGTGCTAACACCTGATGTGATTAGCAGCAGTTAGTGAGCTGCTCTACATACTTCCAAACGTCCTGTCCACACACGTACATCACGCCTGCTAATTATCTGCTTAGCCTGCAAATGAAGCGTAAATGCAACTTAGTAATTGCGATCTCTGACACCTAATTGGCGTTCACAGTTCATCTTCCTGTATTCATTTGAGGTGCTAATACAGGGGTGGTGAAACAAATAACAACTGGATGCATTATATTTAAAATGTTTCTGCGAGTACCTCTCAGCTTCACCAGCAGTAAGCATGTTCCTTTTTTCTCTCTCTTCAGTAACCATCTCCACCAGTGTATCCTTCGATGGTCTCCTGGTGACTGGCCTCTACACCTCAACACCAGTCCAGTCGGCTCCCATTCCTGCTCCAGCTGCTTTTGGCTTTGGTGAGTCTTGTTTCTTTTGCCAATACAAGCTGCTTTTTTTCTTATGCTTTTTAGTACTAGCAAACCCTCAGATACCCCGAGAACTGTCTGCTGGGACCACGAAGTATTACGATCCAGCTCAGTGATCCACATCCGTTCCCAGACTCAGCATAAGACCACTTCCCTTCTCCGGTTATGACAGGTCGTGATGGATGAGGAGTCAGGATGATGTGAGCAAGGGTTCGGTCAGATGGGTTTTCATTGATGTTTGAGAGAACAAAAAAAAACTGAATATGAGATAGATATAAAGAGCAAAGCAGAAAATGTAGAGCTTTCTAAAAGATTAAACTTAAAATAACAAGTGATCACCAGGCCAGCTTGCCAAATGTTGGAGTAAAGGCCCAGTGGACGGGCTGATTTACAATTTATTTATCCAGAGATGCAAATATAGCAACAGTTTAGGTGGTAGATGTTGCTATTAAACTGGATGAAGTTTGCAAACAACTTATCTTATTCTTTGTCCGCCTTTCCTTTGCATTGTCTGCATGCTCTGCTCTAATGATACAGATTGAATCTCTCTTTATTCTTAAAAGATTAAAGCTAAATTTATAATTCTTTACACTTTTGACAGCTGTAAAAAGTGTAAAGAATGCTTACAGCATTTCAGTTACTGTAAGCATGCAACTGAAATGCGTTAAGTGCAACTCTTTTTTTGGACACACAACCAAGATTTGTAGACTCTTGTATTTGCGGATGGAGCCCTTGTGTGCACGGATGGGGGCTCTTTTGGGGCAGTGGAACAGCTATAAAGAACTCCTTAGAGAACAGGGCTAGTGTCCCAGAACTGCTGCGCAGTGGGCTCCCTTATCCTGACTAACTCCACTGTTCTTCAGACATTGACTTCACTCTGACCAGGGCAGTTCTTCACTCTTGGCAGCTCTGTTTACTGGGGAGGCATCCAAGCACAGATTGCGTCACCTTAGCTTCACTCTAATTACTTGAAAAGTTTTAAGGATACGCCTACCCTGATAGACAGCAGCTTGTGGAACGGTGACTTTCTGTAAGATGTGTGTTTAAGTAAGTCTGCAAAGTCTTCCGTTACAGCATGTGTAATCTGTCTGGGTTTCGCAGTGCCAGTTAGACATTTGGTCCTCAGCTGAAGAGCTTTCTGCACTCTGCTCTAATTCTCCAGCCACCCCTCCCACTGTGGGATTCAGGACTCCATGGAGCAGCAGGCACATGCAAAAGCAGTCTTGTCATAGAGGAGATTCTGAATGACGATTTAATAGATTTATGGTCTTATTTTCCCTTCGATTAATTTTTCTGTGCATTTTTGAGGTACACTGGGATTTTTTTTTATGATCGAGTGATAGAAACTCAGCTAGTTTGCAGAACATGGTGGTCCACTTGGCTGTTGAAGGCTCCTCAGCGTTGGAAGGGCTGAAGACATTCTCCTAGAGAGAACGTCCTTTATTAATAAGCTCATGGAAACTTGGTGACTTAACAGAGAGCCAGCGTTTTTCCAAAATGCTTTGAAGATAATGCAGTGGAACAATAATACAGAGTGATGCCTCTTCATGTCCAGTGTTGTGACAAATATAAATGGGCCTTTGAGCGCAAGAGGGTCACACAACTCCACGAGGGAGTTTTATGAACATGGTGTTTATGAGCAGGATAAGGTGGGGCTCTAATCCCTCTGAATGAAGCCACGTGGGGGACACGGTTACACAATGGACTGCAACATGCGTATGCACACGTTCAATAGAAATACCACCAACTTTCACTCAAGAGTACACACACAGTCCAACTGTTCAGCTGAAGTGAAGTGTTGGCTGGCTGGCGGGGACATGTGGTTGGCAGATGTATCAGTCCAGGAACTAGCATGAACTATAGCACAGGGAGAATGAAACCACTGTAGCGAGAAGATCGCTAATAAATCACTGAAAGACTGAATCGGCAGCTTAAGATGAGGCGTGAGAGAAGTTTTTTTGTTTTTTGTTTTTGGCCGTGTTTGTGTTGTTGGAGGTGAAGAGCAAAACAAAGAGATCCTAAGAGAGAGACAAAGAAGGAATCAATGGTTTTAAAAAAGACGGAAAGTGGAATAAATAGGCAAAGTCAGGGAGCTGTGGACACAGAGGTTAGTGTTTTTACTCGATGCGTTGGGATGTCCAGTGGTTGGTGTGGTCAAAGCTGTGGTAGCAAGCAGACACGATGACTGCCCAATAGCTTCTAATAGCCTCTCCCCTCAGTCTTCTGTGTCATCCTTTGTTGCTTTTTACACATGTCATAAAAACAGTGTGGATGTGAGCATGACGGAATTGCATGCTTCATCAATTCTCTTTGTGTGTGTGTGTGTGTGTGTTTATCACTCCTTTTTCTTTTTGTTGATCTGTTACAATTATAACTTTAAGAAACAAACACCATAACATGAAGGCAGCAGTGATTTTTTTCATTATGTTGTCTTCCACGCCACTTGAATTGCAGTGCTCTTTGAACTACGTTTGTAGCACATATGTTTTAGTTTGAGGGTTTTCACTGCAGTGTCGCCCACTGTTTGTCAAATTACTGTAACCGATGTGTGGTGAAGCAGTTGGCAGGGCAGTTTAAGGTAGTCTAAGGAATGCCATGTTTTCGGCTGCTGCGCTGAGTTGTGGTTCAAGTTGCTGAAGGCTGGTTCCTCCACTCCCTAAAGGCAAGCGACCTTTTACTTGCTGCTGGCGGGCTAACCACAGACCTTTACGATGCTGTAACTGCTCTGCTGTGGCAAGTGCAGAATCAGATGAACTGGAGCTAAAAACAATGTTGTGCTTTGGGAGCCATGCCTGCTAAATACAGGGAGAATGCGGGAGTGCAAATTGATTGTGGTTTTCGTAAATGTAGCGATCACAGGCCAGCAAAACTAGTCTGGGTGCATTTATTTCAAGGTGCCAGAGCTGAGAGGAAAGACTTGACATTTCATTTTGGGATTCAACTACTTACAACTCACAGTTAATGGATGAGGTATGACGTGCAGCTTCATTTGAGTCTACTTTGTAGTCGATTTTCAACCCAAGTAGTCATTAGAGACTTTTTGAAACACTTAAGAGTGAAACATGGAGAATTTATATGCATGTTTGAATGTAACGTGGTCGAAACGGATGTCTGTACACACTGCCAGAAATGCAACATGAGTCTGGACTCAGCAGCCGAAGAATTCCAACTCCTCAGTGTTTTTCCTTTCTTTGACATTTATTCCATTAAGACGTCTTTCTTTCCAATCCGCCCTCTTGGCGTTCTGAAGCTTTCAGCTTGGCAACCAGAAAGATTAAATGATGAAACCAATAACATAAGTATATTGTCATAATTTTGATTTTTGTTTCATGTATCATAAAATCTGCTTGCTGTTACATGTCGCATAGCAGTAATGAGGTGATATATTAAAACCCATAGGCCAGAGCCTGGATGGAAAGTAATGTCACATGTGGTCTGATTTGTATTCCCTGATAGTAAAATGTTTCCCATCACATCATTATCCATTCAAACACAAAGACAGACAGAGCAAGTATTCATTCTAAATGTGTCCGGATAACTTATAATTACAATGATGAACAGGCACTTGAAGGAAAAGGAGAGCTTTGAAAATTTAGAGCAAAACGCCAATATTGGTCTGAGAAAGTGTATGAGATTGAGGAATGAGTGTGAGAGTGGAAAAATGTGTACATACCTCCT